TATTTTTTTTTGGTTACTTGAGTAAGCGTTAGTTTTACGCCACCTTAGAAATTGAGATGAAGATATAGGTGCTTAGAATTCGACTTCCGATCATCTAATTTGCTTGAAATGATATTAGATTTTGTTTATATTCTAAGTTTGCTGACATATGTTATCAAATATCTGTAACCGCTGCAGCTATTAACAGGCAGGTGACTCCCGCTCTTCAATTTTTTTTCTTCTTATGTTTTCCCAGACTTTAGCTTTAAGAACCGAGTACAATGTCTTATTTTAAGCTTTTAAAATTAATTCTATGACAAACTAAAGTGTATGGGTTAAACTAACAGACCACAGTAATTTGTGTATTTTGCTATAAATTCTTCAATTTTCCAGGATTTTTGGACTATGCAACAATTACGGGTATGTAGTTATGCTGAGCGCTGCAGAGGATATTATGGCTGTCCAGGAAGGAGGCAATGTAACCAAAACAATCGAGAATTGTGAGGTAGCTGCGCTCTCTAATATACATCCTGTGTCTCTTTGAGCTTTTAATCCTGACGCTAACAAACATCAAAAATATAATTCTGATTTAAAGGATCATATCACTGCTCGACATTGTACTTCTATTTCCACTGGAGCTGTTCTTCTCGCCGACAACCTTCCTTCTCTTTTTGTTAAACTAACCTTTCCATTCTTTATGCATCGAATTCCATTTGTGTAAGTGAAGCAACAAATTTAAATACATTTTCATCTTCTTAGAACCCTTTTTTCCATTTTTAGATTTCGTCACGTCTTAGTGTGCGGACTTCAATCGGCAAGTTACTTCATAGTCGCTTTCTCCCTGAGTGTGCCTATGTCTCTAGCCGGAGTTTGCTTTGCTGCCTTCGGATCAGGAATTGGAGAAATAAGTTATCTCGCGCTGGCTTCGCATTATCCAACGTATGCACTTGATGGCATTGAGAATTCAAAGTATTTTTAAGAGCATTTACAGATTAGCAATAGCTGCTTGGTCTTCCGGAACGGGTGCTGCCGGTTTGTTGGGCTCTTTTTCATATGCA